GCAAAGACTCCTGGGGTGACTGCAGCCACACTGGGGTACCCGCGCTGGGGTGGGTGGGCTGCTGCAGCCTGCTCTGGGCGCTGAGGGCCCATGCCTAGGAGCACTGCGCCTTTCCCAGAGGGTGGGGCTCCTTCCTCAGAGTAAAAGGTGAGAGATCCCAGGGGCGGGGGAAGCAATCAGAGACCTTGGAAACGGCTGGGTCCGGGTGCAGGGCTGAGCTTCCCTGCGGTGAGCCCGCAGCCGGGCGCACAGCGGGAGCTGGCCAGCTTGGGAAAGCGGAACAGGAAAGGCAATGCCGGTTGAGCAACCCGGCCCAGATTGGGGCCCAGGCGACCACAGGCTGGGACGCTGCACCAGCCAGCCGCCCGGCATTTGCACAGGGCTGGCCTTGAGGGGCTGTGGGGGCAGTGGTCAGGAAGTGCCCTCCGGCCAGGCCCTGCGGCCTGCCAGGACGGGGTTGTGCCCACTGTAGCCCAAAGTGACCAGCTACCACCACCCATGCCAGTGGGGGCTGAAGGTTGGGTCCCTGGAAGACTGGGCGCCAGGAGAGGCCACAGGGCCGGAGCCGGCCGAGGCCCTGCTGCAGGGCCTGAGGCAGGAGAGGTTCGGGCAGAGCCCCTTGCGCCGGCCTTGGATCCCTGGGGTCCACCCTCTACTGGGGTCAGCAGTGGGGGCAGGGTGCTCACCCGTCTCTTGCGCTGGCTAGAGGCTCTCCTGAGTCCTCAGCCCACCTCCCAGGGACTGGAGGGACATGGCTCTCACTGCCCCTCATCTGCCTGCCGTGCTTCCCAACACCCTGGCTCCCCTTACTGCCTGGGGGGTGTGAGGGTCAGTTCTGAAGACCACGCGAGCGGCCCTCCTAGAGAGAGTTGGAAACAGGAAGACAGAAGACGAGACCCTGTACCTGCGGCGCCGAGCCTCGGTCGGGGGCTCCCTGCCAGACGCAGCCGCCACCGGGTTGTCACCCATCCTCTCCGGCACCTTCCTCTTGACCACTGTTTTGTGCGTGTTTTAAACAAACCATTTTCTGGTGGAAAACTTCAAACACCCAAGGTCCCTGGAAGAGCGCCCTTGGCCTGTGTCCTGCCTCTTAACCTCGTTTGTTCTGGTGGTTCAGGGACGGAACAGGGCCTCAGGGGGGCCACCGCTGGACCACAGAGCCACACCCCAGCTCCACCACCACCACCCCAGGGGCCTGCGGTGTCCTGCTCGGCCACGCACTTCCCTGAGGTCGGCCGGGTCCCTGCGCGTCACAGCGCCCCCTCCAGGCCGAGTGTGTGAACGGCCTTGGTACGTGTCCTTTGCCTGAGAGTGGACATGTGGTCTCCGAGCCAGTGACAGACCTCAGGCCCCTGTGTCCCTGAGTGTGTCCATGTTCTCTTACAGACGAGGACTTCCACGGAGACCACGTGGCAGTAATCCCTTCACATCGCCGTCCCCAGGCGTCATTTCCCAAGAGCAGTCCCCGTAAAATCCGTTTGCTCAACTTGGGACCCAAACAAGGTTGAATGCTCTTGGTTCTTTCCCCGGCCATTCCCTGGGCAGTGGGTCACCAGCCCCGGGAGCCTTCTTAGGGCGCTTGGGGCGGCCAGGCCCCTCCTGCGCCTGCGGCGGCCGCTCCTCTGCTGTGCCCTGTTTTGACTTTTTGTCCTTTATGTTTCTAGTGACTTTATTCTGAAACCTTTCAAACTTACAGAAAGTTGTGAGACTATTTCGAGAACTCCCGTGTCCCCTCCTGAGGCCCCAGGTGGGCTTCCCAACAGACGGGGCCTGTGGTCACCTCACGTCCCCTCCAGGGCGTGGCCCGCTCAGGCTCCTGCCTTGCCCGGGGTCCTGCTGCGGTTGCCTGTCCCAGTGCTCGGTGTCCGCGTGGCACAGACCAGCCATCCCCTTAGAGGTCTGAGACTGTCTGAGGCTTGCTCACAGGGGAGCCCTGCCTGTGCATGGTGTGTGTGGCCATGGTGGGAGCTGGCCCACCTGGTGACGGAGCTCGGGTTGCTTGGGGAGATGGGCTCGCGGGGCTGTCCGTGGACGCTGCCCACCCCCTTGGTTTAACAGCTTCTGGGGGAGACATTCAAGGTGAGGTACTCCCTGTTCCTTGCTCTTTGGGTCACAGGAGACTGGCAGAGGCCGAGTGGCCTGCCCAGGGCCCAGGCAGAAGTGGGGTGGTGCTGCACACAGGGCTTCTCGATGGGGGTCTCAGCCTGCGTGGAAGCCGACCACACGGCTCTGTGCTGGCGGCCGTCTCCACCCCAGCCCTTCTGCACCCAGCCAGGCCACAGCAGGTGCCCAGAGTCCGGAGCACCAGAGAGGCAGGTGTTCCAACCTGCCCGGGGGTCTCTGCGTGGCAGCCCCGGGCCACCAGGAGAAAGCCCTCCTCTGCGGGAGCAGGCCCTGCTCACGCTCCCCAGCCCCGTGGCTTTACCAGTGAAGCAGAGGCGATGTCGGGTTGAGCATCAGGACGCAGTGTGACTGAGGAGTGACTGGTGACTCCGTGTGAGGGAGGAGAGAAGGGAGTGAAAGGAGGAGGGCGGGAAGGAGGGAGGAGAGGAGAGGAAGAGAGAGAAACTGTTCTTTCACTATGTGGATCATTTATCAAAAAAGAGAACCTCACAGGTAGAAGCTCGTGGGCTGGTGTGACTACCGCATGGTCATCTGCACCTTAGTCTTCTCCTATGTTGCTGCTTTGTCATTGTAGCAAAATACCTCATGGTCTAAGACAGTTGCACAGGCTCCAGATATCACATCTGCATTCTAGCAAGCAAGAAGGAGAAGAGGGGACGACCGAGCCACCTCTCTTGCTTTGAGAATGCCTCAGAGTAACACCCCCCTCAGCTCTCACTTCCTCTCGTTTGCTTCAGCTGGTAATGGGGGTCGTTTCGGGGCAGTGGGGTGGGAGGTGCTCTTGATTCTGCCTGATGCTGGATGTCACTTGCTTCCCAGGGGATGGTCAGGAGGGTGCAGCTGGAGCCCTGTCCCCGGTCAGCCTGGATCAGAGTGTGAAAGTCTGTCTGGCAGGTGCCTCAGAGCAGAGACCCACACACAAGAGCCGGAACTGGACTTTACCCTGCCCACCTGACAGGACTCCCCGGGGCATTGGCCCAGCCCGAGGCCAGGCTCCGGGGTGCAGGGAGGGACCCGGTGGCTGTGGACAGCAGTTATGGGCACTGTGCGTGGCCTGCACCCCTGCGCACTAGAAGCACAGTCTGCTGCAGGGTGGACGCCCAGGCACCCAGCTCAGGCTGCTCTGCACACGTGCCCGGGCGGCAGCTGCTGCCTCGCTCCGGGTGCCAAGGGCTGGCTCTGCCCAGGCGCATCTGAAGGGGAGATTCTGCAGGAGACTCGCAGGCCCGTCCCGCCCCGCCCTGCGCCCATCCACCCGTCCACATTCTGGCTCCTGTTCTCGTCTGGTGCCTTGTAGTCACTTGCTCTGCATCTCTGAGGTCACAGGTCCTGGAGCAGGGTCAGTGGGCCAGGGACAAACGCCACCCTGCAAGGCCACCTGGCCTCCCCAGATGACCCTGGGGCCACGTTGCTGATCCTTGGTGGTCACCTGGACAGGGCTGGGGTTTTAGACCTGGAAACCCCTCACCTGGATCCCCCTGGAAGGGGGGGGGTCCCCTCATAAAACAAACAGAAAATAAATACTTGGCCAGGGACGTGCGCAGCTGCTGGACCATCCTGAGCATTGAGGGAGGCTCAGGGCTCTCACAGTGTCCTGTCGGGGGCTGCACAGACACCAGCAGCTGTGACCGCTTCCCAGGGTGCAGGTGCGATTTGCCAGGAGCGGGGATCTTGGGGAGGCCCCGGGTGGCACCCTCAGCTCCCAGCTCTTCCTCTGAGCCAGGGGCTGTGCAGTGAGGACCCGGGTTAGAGCCACCTCGACAGCCTCTCCTGGACAGCTGGGTGGACCCTGCCAGGGCTCGCTCCACCTTCTGCTGTTGCTATGGCCAGGCAGCTTTGCCAGCCACTCTCCTGGGGAGAGTCTGGTTGCCCAAGGTTTGCCCACTACCATGGTGTCGAGTCTCCCACTGCATGGCACCTCTGGGGCGCTGGTGTGACCCTCACGGTCACTGAGTCTAGAAATGCCATCAGCTGGACTGTGAGCCACTTACTCTCATCGTGCCATGTGTGTGTGTGTGTGTGTGTGCATGTGTGTACGTGTGTGTGCATGTGTGTGCATGTGTGTGTGCCCGCGTGTGCTGGGGGCAGTGCCAGGACCCCTGGGGAGCTGCCACCAAAGGCTCTGTAGGGAAAGCCAGAGCCGAGCAGAGTGCGTGCTAACCAATCCTGCCAGAGGACGCAGGGCGGTCAGGGCATCCGCCGCTGGTGTGTGAACTTTGTGTCACAATTACACAAGAGACCACAGTCACGGCACAGATGGCCTGTGGGGTGTGTGGGTGAGCCAGGAAGTGAGGCACAACTCGGGACCTTTTGTGCCCCAGACCTGCTGGGGCAGATGGCGGCCCCCCTGGCCCTGGCTGGTGCAGGTTTGTATCTTTTGCTTCTTCCAGGAGTGGGTGGCCACGGGGAGGGAGCCCCACTCTGTAGTAGAGGTTGGACTCCACCAGGCGGGGTGCTTGCGGTCAGAAGCCTGGGCTCAGGGGCAGCAGGGTGGCTTGTGTCAAAGGGCTTCACAGGGGACCGTCCCTCAGGCCCTGATCCACACCCAGCTGGGAGGACTTGGAGGGCACCGTACCCCGGACGGGTATCAGCCCAGACTGCCCACCTGCCAGGAGGCGGCTCAGGACGGAGGATACCGCACACAGAGTCCTTAGTCCTGGTTGGGGACCTGTCACCTACACCGGAGCCTCAGTTGGCTCTTCTGTGGGTGGGACCAGGAGAACCCTGGGAACTGCTGGGAGGGTCAAAGGGAAGATGGAGGCCCTCCAGGCGCAGTCTCACCTCTCAATTCCGGAGGCCCCAGCAGAACAGCCGAGGGCTCCTGCCAGGAACAAGAGGAGGGGCTCCTCAAAACAGGCCGCGGGGTGGGTAGGGCTCCCGCCCCCAGGAGTGCGTTGGGCGAGGCGGATCTGACCGAGGAGCCCAAACTGCTCCTGGGGAAAACAGCCGTGAGAATTCATAGCGAAGGGGCCTGCAAACGCGGAAATCAGGCAGACTCCGTCTCCAGGGGAAAGGGAGGGGTCGTGAGAAGGCACATCAGCATGCGGCGCTGGGCAGGCCAGTGGGACTCAGGTCCCAGGGGACATCCAGCTGGCCTGGGAGGTGGCCCTCCTGGAGGGTGGCCCGGGGGTCAGGAGCACAGCCAACACCTAGGAGCTCCGTAGCCTTGGAGACCCGTGGTTGCTCCTTTCCCACCTGGCCGGGAGGCCCTGGCCGCAGTGTCACAGCTCAGCCCTGGGAGCCACACAGGGTCCAGCCAGGTGACACAGCTGAGTGGCCCAGGTGTCCAGGGTGCAGCACGGCCGGGCCCTCGGCACACAGAAGCTGCTCAGTGGTGCTCACAGGCGGCGTCCCGGGGTATGGTGGGCAGGAAGCTGGGCTGGGTCCCTGCAGGACAGGGGGTGATGAGTGACACCTACCTGTGCCAGGCGGGGGCCAGCAGGGGACACTGGCTGTCTGGAGTCACACACTCCCCTCCTGCCCTTGGTGACAAGAAATGCCACACTAGGCAGCAGCTGGTGTGGCATCGAGTGTGTCAGGGGACTCAGTGCCACAGGGTCCCCAGCTGTGACAAGGGGACAGGAAAGGAGAAAAGAAGGGCGGGTGCTCGAAGGACCTCAGTGCCAGCTGGCGAGTCTTGGTGTGCTGGTGGGGCCTGGGCCCTGCTGGCCCCGTGTCCTGCGGGGCCCAGCACTCAGCACACCTGCAGGGGTCCACTCGTCCCAGTAGGGACGTCCCTAGTCCCAAGCCCTGTGATCCGGGCTCCCCCTCTCCCGCTGGGTCAGGGCCCTGTTTTCAGTTCACCATGGGGCGTGGTCCCAGGGCTGCTGGTGGTGGCCTGGGTGGTGGCACAACCCCGCTGGAGGCCTGCTGAGGGACTGTGACCAACCCGCAGCGGGGAGCGGGTCTGTGTGCCAGCGCCTGGCTGTGTCCCACCTGGGGAGGGTCCGGGCACGGGTGCCCCATGTGAGTGCTGGCTTCCAGGTGGGCGTTGGGGCAGGGCCAGGCGGGGTGCCCATGTGCTGCGCAGGCTGGCGTGTGAGGCCGCGCGTCCTTGGGTGACAGCAGCCCTCCGAGCCTCTGCACGTTGGGGCTGGAAGAGTGACAGCAGCGGTGTTTGGGAGGGTCCCAGGGACGCATGGTGGCCGGGATTCTGCCTGCTTCCACCCTCTCTCTGGACCTGCTCCGGCTCCGCCCTGACCTGGCTCTGCGGCTTCCTGGCCCAGCTGGACCTGCGTTCTCCAGCCCCAGAACATTCCAGCCTCGCTCCTTCGGCAGACACCGGAGTGACTTCACTTTCCCGAGCACTGGATTCCCTGGCCCTTCACGTACAGGAGCTGGCGGCCCTGGGGGCTGGGGACGTGTCCTTGGAGAGCTGACCTGGCCAGTGCTTCTTACCCCAGGACTCGGCTGCCTTGACCGCCACTTGGGTGAGCAGTCAGCCCCCCCCCCCCCCAGACAGGCCTTGCCGTGTGCTCCCTGGTACTTCGGAAACGCTGGCGTTGAAGTCTGCCCTGTGCCCCGGCGATTCCTGCCTGTGCCCCTGTGACATTCGATCCCCCTGAACAAGTGCTTCGGCTACGGTCTTTCTTGGTTTGATTCCAGCACGTGGAGCTTTTAACCATCTTCCCACATGAACAGCCACCCACAGCTCCCAGAGTGGCTGGTGCTTCCCTGCGGGAAGCCGGAGCACCTCCCTGTGCACAGAGGACCTCCCTGTGCCCCTGCCTTCAGGACCACAACGCTGCCTCCTGTCAAGGAAGGAGTCCCTCTCCCTCGAGCCGGGCTTGACTGTGGTCAGCCTGACTCTGACGGTTCGGCTGGCCTGAGGCTCCACGGTCTGGGGCAGGGCACAGGAATGAGGGCGGGTCGGGCGCCAGCTCCGCTGCACACTTGGACCTCTCACTAGTGCCACTGGTTTGCTGAAGCCGATTCACTTCTACACAGAGTGGGACAGGTGCAGTGAGCTCCCTTGACCTGCTCCAAGCATGGAGAAAGCTCTGGACCTCACAGTGGTCATGCAGGGGACACTGGACACTTGGGGTCCCCAAAGTGAGGCAGGAGCACCAGCTTCCTGGGCTGTTGCAACAAGCACCCCAAACTGGGGCTCCAAACAGTGGCGATTCCTGCTCACAGGGGCAGGGGGTGCGGGCAGGGCCGGAGCTCCTGGAGGCCCTAGAGCCTGTCCCTTGTCCGTCTCTTCCTTCTGGTGGCTGCTGACCGGCCTTGCGATCCCGTATGCATCACTGTGACCCCTGCCCACTCTCACGTGCTTCTCCCTGTGTCTGTGTCCTGCCTTCCTCATCCTGGGACACCAGCGGCTGGACACTGCCCGCAAGGCTGCCTGCAGGACCTCCTCCTAGCCTGACCACAGCCACAGAGGTCTGTTTCCAACAAGCTCACTCTCAAGGGGCCGGGTCAGGGCTTCAGTGCACCTTCTAGGGAGACATGATTCAACCAAAACAGAGGGTACACGGAGGCCTGGCGCTGACTGTGGCCGTCACTACGGCTCTGCTCAGAGGCACGTCTTGGAAGTCCCACGGGAGCACATGCAGGGCTGGTTTGAGCATTGGGTGTCACCATCCTGGGACAACCCGTGCTGGACTGCTCCTCCTGGGGACGTGGGAGCCCTCCCTGCAGATATCAGGCCAGGGCCAGCTGGAGGCTGCCCCTCTGGGGACAGTGTCCTTGGGCCACTGCAGGGATGTCCCTCTGTCACGCTCTCGGTGACCTCTTCTTGGCCATGTTGCTCCTGGGCCTTGGCTGCTTGTACCTCCTGGACCCCTCCCCAGAGCCCACCACCCCTGGGTCCCCTTCCCACATTCTGCTCTTGGCCTTCCAGTGTCCTATGACAGGGACGTCCCTGCAATTGTTACCACAGTGTCACTTATTCGGGTTCCTAAGGCGGGTTCCCCCCATCCCCACACTCATTTTGAATTTCTAATGCTCTTTTATTGCAAGCAGCAGACACACCTTCCCTGTGCCCTGGGGCTCCCAGCTCCCTGGTCAGTCCAGGCTGTGGAGTCCACCCTTCAACTCTGGCCTCTTTTTCTTGTGCTGCTGGGGACCAGGGCTGGGAGCGGCGAGCTACGCCCCAGTCGCAGGGTGAAATCCGCACGTCCAGGCCATTCTCAGGTCAGCTGGTCTCCGTGTTGTGCTTCGTGCTCTTTAGGTTTTTAAGTCCTGGAAACGTCTCTGGTGACCCAGGCTCCTGCCAGAGGAGACACAGACCTGCCGGTGTCTGCTTCCAGGGGGCTTCTCCTCGTGGCCTGCTCTGGGCCTCGCTGCTCTGCTCCTGAGCATGTGGCTTTGACCCTTGATGGCATCTCTCCCACTTGTCTCCCGGCCAGAAACACTTTGCTCTAATATCTGCAAAAGCAGCTGCGGGAGGACCCTGCTGGGAGCAGTGGGGACGTGCTCCCTGCCCAGCAGAGCCACGGCCCTCTCCTGGGGCGGATGTGGGGACCGTGTCTTCTCTCCCACTGTTCATGCATCTGTGGGTTTTCCAAGGTCAAATGCAGTTTAACTCCTGTGTGTGCGGGAGAGATTGATGGGCGCTGGCCTCCCGACAGGTTTGACATCCACCATTTGGTGTGCTTTTCAAAGGCTCCCACTTTTAATCGTAGAGCACTGACAGGAGTTTTGGGGGCTTCCTTCTGTTGGGAAATGTTCATCCTTGGAAGCAGTGGTGGGGCCTCCCACACGCTGTCAGCGTGAGGAGTGGGGGGCCTGGCTGGTTGCGTGGCTGATTCGGGGAACAGGGGTTTCCTCCCGCGTCCTGGGAGCCAGCCAGCCGGGTCCAGCATGCCAGCCCGCGGGAGGGAGGCCGTGGAGGGCGGCCAGCAGGAACCAGCTCCCGGGTGAGTCCAGCTCTGCTCGGCCCAGGCCCAGCTGGCTTCTCTAAGGCCTCGCCTCCGACTTCCTTCAGGAAGAAGGATCCGCCTCCTCTTGGACTCACATGCTCACACGGCAACAGGACCAGCCACCTGCGTGGGGAGACGTGGTCCCCCCCCCCCCGCCACCTTCCTTCCAGTGTCCATCCCAGTCCTGCTGTGGCAAGGACATGCTGGGCCCCTCATGGCCAGGGTCAGGGAGGGGTCAGATATAATCCACCTCAGGGAGCTCTGGACGGGTCAGAGGAGGGAAGATGTCCAAGGTCAGCTTGAACGAGCAGCAGTTCACAGGGGACAGGGCACCACTCATCTCTTGACGTAGGAACTTCCGGCCCAGGGAATGGCTCAAGCTGCCGGCTCAGGGCAGGAAGTGCAGGCTGGCTCCATGTTCAAGGACAGCTTCGCCAAGAGCCCAAAGCTGGCCTGAGACATCCTACGTGCCTGGCCCTGGTTCCTTGAGATGGCGTGTGGGGACGGGGTGCAGAGCTGGGTGGACTGGGTGCCTTTGGATTGGATGGCCACAGAACATCTGACTCTAAGTGAAGCCCAAGCCTGAGCCTGGCCGATGGGCAGCCGTGGGGAGAACACTGTGGTCCTCAGAGATGGCTCGGGCTGGAGAGGATCTCTAGGGCACCCTGAGCTCTGAAGCACCGCGATTCTACTTCCAGTGCAAGAGCGGGCCCTCTTACAGCCAGCCAGAGGGGCCTGGAAATCTGACGTTCCACAGAACTAGCCCGAAGGAAGAAGCAAAACAGAACACCCTCAGCTACTCCCTGTTGGGTTCCGGACTCCACACAGGTGAACAAGCAGCTGGTGCCAGTGTTTGGAGGGAGGCTGGGTGGCAGAGAGGCAGGAAGGGGAGGCCCTGGCAGTGTCCTGAGCGGGAACCGGCAGGTCTGGCTTGGAGAGGTGGAGGCTTGGCCCTCAAGGGCCTGTGCATGGGCCTCATGTGCTGGACGAGGCAGGCCCAGCTGACTTGCTGGTGGTGGCCTGAGGTTAATAGTCAAAGGGGACTGACCACCCAGTATCCACCAGGGAGAGCTGGGTGAGCAGTGAATGTCACTTGGAAACAGAGAGGGGTGGTTTGCAGCTCGGGTGACTGGAAGGAGCCCCGCCCTTCTCTGGAGCTTGCCATTCCCAGGGGTCCTACAACCTTGGGGTGGAGAAACCCAGGCCAACGGAGCAGCGGTCACCCCGCTGGTGGGTAGAGAGGGAGAGAGACAGCAGGATGGCTAAGTCCATGTCTTGATGGGGGTTTGAGTCACACAGGCATATGCACTTGCCAAGACTCAGTGAATGTGTAAAATCTGTGCATTTCTTCACCAGTCAATTGTAATTTTTTAAAAATATTTTTTTTAGTTGCATATGGACACAATACCTCTATTTTATTTTTATGTGTTGCTGAGGATCAAACCCAGTGCCTCACATGTGCAAGGCAAGTGCTCTACCACTGAGCTACAACCGCAGCTCTGTCAATTTTATATTGGAAGGAAAAACCCTGTAAACCAACGTTGACCGCGAGCTAACACTAAGCATGGTAGGTGTCAGGAAGGGTACTGATGCCTGCAATTTGCTTTGTTCTGGGTTGAAATGTCAAGGTGGGTGGACGGGTGGAAGGATAGGAGACGACTGACTGACAGCTACCTGACCCAACAGGGGAGGAGGACAGGGGCAGAGACTCTGGGCAGTGGGTGGGACCCTCACCACAGACTCTCTAGGCTTTGCTGGAGTCTGCAATGTCCATGACAAGGTACTGGGGCAGCAGGCCTCTGGTCCCCTGCAGTAATGCCTGCTGTCTGTCTATTCCCACTTAGCGAGCTCCTCCTGCCCCACAGCCCCAGCCCTTGACCGCTGGCCTCCACTGGACTGGGCGTCGTGTGCCAGCTGGCACTCAATTAAACAAGGAGGAAGCTGGCTGACCTGGGCACCAGGCTCTGTGCAAAAGGGAAGCCGAGGTGAGTCAAGCGCCTCCTCGTGCCAGGAATGCCGTGTGTGTCCTCATCACCGCCTGCACAGGGCCTTCCGTGAGGCCCCCTGCTCTGCCCCTTGCCCTCTGGCCTTTCTATTGGGTGCCACCTCTGCAGAAGATGAGGGCCACACCTGTCACCCCCTTTCTCCTCCTGTCCTCTGGGACTCCTCGGCCCCACAGTATGGAGCATGTCTGCCAGGGCGGCTTATTGGAGAGCCCGCGTCAGGTGAAATTCCCCGGGAAAGGAGAGGAGCCATGGTTTTGGCTCACAGACCTCGAGAGGGTTCTGTGCGTGGTGGCCGGCCCCTCGCTTCAGGCCTGGGTGAGGCGCAGCGGCAGGTGGAAGCCGTGGAAGGGCGAGGCCGAGGGGGCTGTCAGCTCCGCAGCACCCCCAGGGCCTCCCCAGCTATGTTTCTTTTTTAATCTGCTGGAGACAAGGTTGAGTTTCTATGATTTCAGCAGTTACCTCTGACCTCTTTTTTATTGTTATCTTTTATAGAAAAATTGCCCAAAATATGAGTGTGTAGCTGATGCACCCTGGAGAAGCCCCCCGGAGGAGGAGGGAGGGACCGCGTGCTGGGCACCTTGCGCTCCCCGCCTGGAGAACCCTGGACCCCACCTTCCTGGTCATTCCGTCCTCATTTGCCTTCTCTTTGTGGTTCCTTAATGTTGCCATTTAGTAACAATTTGTTTCCAGATCCACAGCAGGGGAACCCTATGATAAGCATTTTTAATTCTGAGGGTGGAACTGGCTTCTCTTACCCCAATTTTCTTTTAAAGATTCATTCCCCTTATGTGTCTGGGCCATCCATCTTCATTGCTATGTATTATTTCTTTGCAGAAATAGACAGGTTGGGCATCCCTAATCTGAAAATCTGAAACTCTGAGAGCTGAGATGATGCCACAGTAGAAAATTCCTCAACACTGAACCTTGTTTTGTGTACAAAATCAATAGAAATACTGTATACAATCGCTTTTAGACTATGTATATAGGTGTGTATAAAACATAAATGGATTTTGTAATTAGGCTTTGGTTCCTATGCAAATATTCCAAAGTCCCCAAAATACTTGTGATCTGAAACATTTCTTGTCCTAAGCATTTTGGATAAGTGATATGCAATATGTCTCAAATTATTTATCCATTCTAATGTTGATGGACATTTGCCTGTTTTTCTCTAGGCTTTAGGAATTATAAGCAGCTCTTCCATAAGCGTTTTAGCTTGTGTGCTTCTGTGTTTGCATCTCTATCAGCATACGGTAGATGGGAATTGAAGGTCATGGGGCTATGTACTTGACACTCATTGAATCTTCAATTTGAATTTCTCACTGATTCCTAGATCTTTTATATTCTGGGTAAGAACCAGCCATTTGGTATATATGCTATAAATATCTTCTCTTGCTCTGAGGATTACATTTTCACTATCATGGCACCTTTTGATAAGTAGAAGTTTTAATTTTCAAAGAGTTGAGTTATATATCATTACTTTATGGCTAATGACTTGTTTTTGTCTTAAGGAAGTGTTCCCTACCCCAAGTCAATGAGGAGCCAGGCCTGCTTTAACTGTGAAGACTTTAGTGTTGCCTTCACATGAAGCTCTATAAATACGCAGGACTGGGTTTTTGCATGGTGTGGCTGTTCAATTCTGCTGCACATTTGTTGAAACGATGATCATTTCCCCCATTCGGTGCTGTACAACCTGTGTCTTAAGTCAAGCGTCCACTCATGCATGGGTCTGGGATCTCTGGTCTGTGCCCTGGGTCACTGTCCAATCTTGACATCAATGCCCCTCACCTTAGTTACTCTGGCTTTTATAATAGGTCTTGATAGCTGGTGATGAAAAAATTTCTTTTCTTTGAGAGTATCTTAGTTCTTTTATTAAAATGTTTTATTAGTTGTCAATGGACCTTTATTTTATTTACTTATTTATATGCAGTGCTGAGAATTGAGCCCAGTGCCTCACACCTGCTAGGCAAGCACTCCACCACTGAGCCCCAGCCCCAGTCCCAAGAGTGCATCTTAGTTCTTATGTACACAGTTGTCTTACTTTTTATTGACCTTTACATTGAGGATTCAGTCTTTCATCACTCACCCATACTGGGGGGTGATTTCTCTACCACTGAAAGGACCTGAGCTCTACGTTTGTCCCCTAACATAGCAACATAGCAAAACCCTGTATCAAAAAGAAAGCAAAAATGGTGATGGGGCCGGGATGTAGCTTGAGGTGCAGCAGTTGCCTAGTACACAAGGCCTTGGGCTTGCTCTCCAGGACTGCAGAAAGAAAACAAAAACAAAAACAAAAACAAAACTCTGATTTCCTTGGAAGGTCCTGGAAGAAAGGGAGAGGACAAGCTACATAGTGGAGAAGAGATGTGTGATACAGTGGACCCTCTGTGGAGAATTGGTTCCAGGAGACCCCCTCCCCAGCCCAATGGAAATGAAAACCTGAGGACAGACTGCACCATCCCCAGAGCCCCAGCGTGGTCCAGCAGGGACCCCTCCACCACACCGTCTTGAGTTTGTGGCACAGTTCTGGAGGACAGTGGGCACAGGCATGACAGCAGCAGGGGGGCGTGCCTGGCTGGTCTGGTAGCCCCTGGGCTGGGCAGCCGGGTGCGGCTCAGGACAGAGCTCTAGTTGCAATGAGGTTTTTTTTTAACCTTCACAAACTTAAGAAACTGAGGGAATCTTCTTGGCTCTTTTTTCTCTAAGTAGAAGGGAAGAGCTTTTATAAGAAATAACCTTTTCAGCAAGTCCAGGGTATTTTTTAAAACTCTCCTTCCTCCTGCAGCAATTGTGACATGTCTACATGAAATTGGCCACAGGAAGGAAACCCTGTTGGAGAAGCTATTTTCTGAACACCCTTTTATACCCAAGGTTGCACAACGTGCATACTTTTAGGTGGAAGACCAGGACTTCACACCCTCAGGGGCAGCTATAATTTGGAAGTCAATTGCTTTCATGAAGCTTGTGCATGATCCTCTAGCAGAGCACCAGGAAGAGCTAGAGACGACTTAACATCTACTTTAAAGCAAGGCTTGCAGAACTGGGAATACATCCTGCAGGGAGGGCAACTCCATGAGACTCTGCAATGAGGAAGTTACATGTTTAGAGAAGGGCTGGAAAAAATAGAAGGGCCCAGCCACTGGGAGGTACAGTGACCCAGGACTGCTGCTCTGAAGAGTGCCCTTTTTCTTAAGATAGGCAACAAAGAATAACAGGTTTATGGCCCCAAAGAATGTACAGCCGGCAGCAGAGTGACTTACCATCATGTCTGCACGCATCTGACAGGTCTAGGCACCTAGCCCGCCGTCAGCCTTGCCTTGGTCAGGATGCACGGAGTTTGTGTGAGACCTTCTGCTCTCCCAGTGCTAGCTGGTCAGGTGCGGGTGGATGGAACCACCTGACGCCTTGCTCCCTGCTCCCACCTGTGGGACCTCAGCTGGACATGACCACAGCCATCTTGGATGTTGTCATGCAGCAGCCATGGAAGGCCCCGCCACCCCGCCTTCAGGAAGTCAGCTCACACATGCTGGCCAGCTGCGTCCCCTGACTGTTCCTCTTGCCTGTGACTTCGCCCTCCACTCTCTGTCATTGTCTCTGACGGGCTGTCCTGGTGCAGGGAGAAAGGGCTTGGGACTGGCAGGGCACCAATGGAGCACCTGTCTTCAGACTTCCAGGCCAGAACTTCCTTGGGTCCCCTCCCACAGTGGGACGCTTCAGGGTCTGGAAAGTTTGTTCTCGGGGAGGAAAGATGTGGGACTTCTCAGGCGCTGAGGAGGCTGGACTCACCACCAGGCCTGTGTTCACCAAAGGCACCGAGGGGCGCCCTGCTGTGACTGTGGGAAATGAATGCACGTAAATAGTTAAGATAAAGGACTGCAGGTGAGCCCTCCTGAAGGCAACCACAGGTTCTTTATAAGACCTTGGAGAGGAGACACAGACACAGAGAGTGGCCGTGTGAGGAGGAGGCAAAGACCGGGCAAGGGAGTCCCAGGCTGGGCGAGAGCAGCAGCCACCAGAAGCCGAGGAGGCAGGAAGGAGCCTTCTCTGGAGCCTTAGGAGGGACTCACCCACTGACCTTGGACTTCTGGTCTTTGGAACTGTGAGAGGTGACTCCTGTTGTGTTAGCCTCCCAGTTTGTGGTGCTTGTTAGCAGCCCTAGGACATGGAAGCCAGGATTCCAGATGGACACATTGCCGGGTGTGGCTGGTTCTTGTGCTCGTGGGTGTCTTTGTTGGTGGGAGTGTCACCTCCAGTGAGAAGGGGAGGTTCTCACTCCCTGGCAGCCTCCGTGGAGTAGGGTCCCGTGGGTTTCAGCTCTGTGACGGAGAAAGCTGGGGTCTTTACCTGCCACTCTCTCCCAGGGCCTTACTCTGGTAGCCTCCACTGGGCTGTCTGCTCTGGAAACTTGATGGCTTTTTGGTGGGGAACGGGGCTGGCACGTGGCAGTGTCCAGGGACCTTCCTGTCTCTGCCCTCTTCCCTATTGCTGGGGGTTTCTGGCTTTTGGGAATCATAATACAGCTTCTCCCCAGAAGGAAGCCAGGTCTGTTGGGACTATTTATGTGCAACTACACAAATGTCAGCATGAGCTGCCCTGGGAGGAGGCGTCTAGATGCCTTGGGACTCAAGCTGAGCCTCTTCAGAGCTTCTGCTAAGCCCTTGGCAGAGATGTCCTCATTCTCCCCGAAGCTCGAGAGGCTGATCTGTCTGGAGATGCTAGAAGCCAGCTCTCCTGAAGGCAAAAGGCACTTACCTAAGAGACAGAGGAAGTCACTGAGCCCTAGCACTGTCACTTGAGATCCTGGATCCAGTCATGTCTGAAACCTCTCAAGTCCCCACTCTTCTGGGTACCCAAGTCCATGCATTCTCCTTGTTAGGTTAGTTTGAATACCATGTTTCTGTCACCTGTAAAAGGAATTCTCTCCACTAGTATAAATTCTAGGTAGCGATTTCCTAGGAACAGAGCTGCCTGGAGCCACGCCTCATCTGCATGGTGCCAGGCGTTGCCTGCTGTGGCCAAGGCTCAGCCAGCTGTGAGCCTCCGCCTGCAGGCCCCTGCTCCTTGTCTTACTGTCACAGAGCGAGCAACATGCTTCCATCTGTGCCAGGGAACCAGGAGCACTGTGGGACACCCTCCCCACTTTCTTTGCCTGTTCAAATTTTGCTCCATCTTTGAAGTCCATTTCAATTTGTCCTCTGTCACAGAGAAGCCCTGATTTCTTGGGCACTTGCTGCTGTATGCTATACTGTAGCATTTTATTAGGTTCAACCTGGACTTAAAGCAACTTGAAAGCACTCACTGACCTGTCCAGCTTAGAGCCTGCCTGGGCCTGGCTCTTAGGGCTCAGGGACTCAGAATCTTAGGTTGGACTTGAGACATTTCCTAGTTATTTGCTGTTATTTATTGTTAACTCCTCATGACATAGATTCTATTATGACACATCCTAAGACGTTCGGAGCCTGAGTCCTCTAAACCTAAAACAATTAAACAGGACACAGACTTCATCCCCGGCCTTCCTCTTTCCTTGTGGAGCTGCTGGTCATAACTCAGATAAGGTGGTATCTCAGATAACCAACTTGTTTTGAGGCCTGGGTGATGGTGCTTCTTAAGGCTCCAGATTTCTCTTTCTCACAGCCTAAGAGGTTTGATGCTGAACTCCCACTAGAAATCAGGTTCATCTTCTCAGTGGTAAAGTACTTAGTTCTGTACATTTGATTTGGTGCTGAGTTAGCCCACGTTGCCTTGCTGGCTTGTTCTAGTACCTGTTTTCCTGTTTTGGTTCTGTCACTCATGGCTGATTGGAGCAGAAGGTGTTTGAGGTCCTGTATGGGTTTCCTGTGTCTGCTGTAACAATCACCACGAACAGCACACGTTTCTCTCACAGATCTGGAGGCCAGGGTCCCCACATGCTCTCCGGGGCTGTGCGGGTGCTGGCAGGGCTGGCTCTTTCAGGAGGCTCCGGAGTTGAGTCTGTTTCTTTGTCTTTTCCAGCTTCTAGGGGCCCCCACATTCCTGGCTCCTGGTCCCGTCCTCTACCTTACAGTCAGCGGCACAAGAGCTCCATGACTCTCCGAATCTGTCTTCATTGTCACGTCTCCTCTGAAGTGGACCTTGCTGCCACCCTCCAGAGATGCTGCGATGACCCTGGGCCGCCTGGCTGTTCTTGGGTAAGCCCCCTCAGACCCCCCTCTGTCGCATCTTCACCTTTCTTCCCCCCCTCCCCCTCTGCCCCGGCCCCCCTCCCCCTTTCCTTCCGAGAAAAATACATAATCTGTCATCAGGCACGTGTTTCACAGCCGGCTCCTCAGTTTAGAAGTCTCATGTCTTGCTCACTATGGTGTCTACAGGGTTTAGAAGGAATATTGGACGAATTTTCCTCAAACTGAGAATTTCTCTTTTTATCCCTCCTACTTGATGGCAGTTGCATGCAATGTCAGTGAGAGAGGAAGAACACTGACCCCACACTCTAGCCAGGGGTTTTCCAGTCCTGCTCGGGCAACGCACTGTGTGAGCATGTAGCTTCTTTTTGAGATGCTGTGATGTAGGCAGGGCCAGGCCTGGTGAGCCTCGAGGACGGCTGAGTGACTCTGGTCTCAAGCAGGCCCAGCTTTTTCCCTTTGGTTTGATTCTATTTTTCTCAGTAAAATAGTGATGTAATCGAGGGGACGTGGAATTGTGAGTGGAGAATGTGAGAGAGGGGCACCCGTGGGCCTGGCTGGCTGTGGGGAAGTTCCCAGGGGACCGGTCAGGATGAAAGGCCCTCACCATGTTTGGCTGGGGGCCGCGTGGAGGAGGCGGAGGGCAGCTTTTCCTTAGGCGCAAGACTGTGGAAGGAGGTGGGCATCCTTTTCTGTAGAGCTCACGTGGACTGAGGGAGGCTGCTTCGGAGGTGGGGGACACAGAACACCCTGAATTTTCTCAGCGGAGCCCAAGTGAAGCCCAGTGAACTTTCTTTCAAGGCTGCTCTCGACTGTGACGTGAGGATCTCACCCAGCGGTGGCCTGAGGGAGTGTGCTGAACCTAGAGGCTTTTTGCCCAGAGGCTGTTTGTCTGAGCCCTGATTCCCCACTGGTGCCTACTGTGGGAACAGGCAGTCCCCCCACACACGCTTCCCCTTGAAGGCAAGCTCCTGTGACATGTTTAGGCCTTGGCATGAACAGCCACCATGTGCCCAACAGGTGGGGACTCCTGGGAGAGTAGGTCCTCAAGAGGCTTAGTCTGGTGTGAGAGCCCCACTGAGCCAGGAACCCAGTAATAAGTGACACTTCATAAACAAGAAGTCACTTCCCATTGAGACCTAGGATTGGCCAGTTCTCCTTTGGTCTTTCCCCTGTCAGGCAGAAGGGAAGAATAAGGGACCAAGGAGCTTGTAAGTCATGTTTCTATCTGCGCTGAGGGCTGATCCTGACAGGTGTGTCCTCAGTGCTTTTATGGGCTGTACGTGTGACTCAGGAAGCCCAGGGACTCCCCCAGCTGCCCGCCAGGCAGGGCCCTCTGATGGGAAGTGGTATCTGATACTCAGTTTCCTTTCACACCAGTTTCTCTTGCATCCCGCAGCTTCAGTGAGTCAGAAAAGCCCTCCTAGAAACTTCTGGTGCTTGGGCTTCTGCTGCTCAGGCTGGAGTGCCTGGGGACTGGTGTCCGTGAGCTGAAGGGTCCCCCGGACTGTGCTGCCTCAGCCCCTCCTCAGGACTCCATGTTGAGCCTTGGCTCACGTGAGACAGCTCTTGCCTCTGCCACCATCGAGAGACACCTTCTCTCTGGGCCACTGATAGAGGATCTCTGGGTTCCAGAACAGGGGCAAAAGCAGTTTAGGGACAGGCTTGAAGGCTGGGGTGTGGAGAGGGGAGAGCAGAGAGGAATGGACTCAAAGGACACTGAAGTGAAAGGAAAAAACATGATCAGTGGGTCTCAGAGGGAGGTGGCTTTTGCTCCATACCACAGTTTCCAAAGTCTGGAGACACTTTGGTTGTCAGAACTGGGGCTGCTTCTGGTGACTAGTGGGTCAAGGACATCCTACAATGCACAGGATGTCTCCCTCTGCAAGGATTGGGCCACCCCTCATGCTGATGGTGTCACGGCTGGATACCAGATTCAGCTGAGGAACTTCCAGCTGAGCTGTGTTGGGAAAATCCTTATGTGAGTTGGAATTTTAGAAGAAAAGCTCCATTTTTTAGTTTCTTTAGTTGAAACCAGTGGTTCAATGAAGCTCAGAGGCAAGGACTCACTGGGTGACCTTGCCAGGTAGGCATTTGTGGGAAGAGCAGGAAGTCTTGGGCTGAGCTGGGGCTTATCGGTAGACACTGGCCCAGCATTCACGCGGCACTGGGCTCCCGAAAACAAAAACAAAAACAAAAACAAAAAACTCCTGAGTATTCCTCAGGGACAGCGACAACTCCCTCCTGTACATCGGTTAATGATTGGTTAACGGGGCAGCTCTCTCCCTTGGGATGAACATTCAGGAGAAGACAGCAGACCCCTCCTGGGTCCCCCAAACTACTTCCCAGGTGAGTTATGGGTCCTGGGAAACTGCCTGAGTTGCTGCCTGGCTGTGGTGACGTTTCCCCGGATGATGCTGATCACCATGGAGGACCCTTCTCTCTCCAAGTCTGTCTTAGATGAAAGGAAGGTTCAGCTCGAGTTGAGTGAGGTGGTGCAAGCCTGTAATCCCAGTGACTGGGGAGGCTGAGGCAGGAGGAGCACAAGTTCAAGGCCAGCCCGTGAAACTCATCAAGACCCTGTATCAAAATTAAAAAAAAAAATTAAAAGGCTGGGTGTGTAGCTCAATGGTAGGGCACCCCTGGGTTCAATCCTCAGTACCAAAAAAAGTTTCAGTCAGGTGCCTTCTGAAAGAAAGGATGAAGGCCAGCATTCCCAAGAATGGACATCAAATGGGCCGACAGGTCTGAGATGTCCACTAGAGAAGGCAGCGTGGAAAGTGCATGAGGGCAGGATGGCCTAGAATCAAGACCCTTTTTGAACCATGGGCAAATCCTCTAATAAGAAAAGAAACTGAGAATTTTAGGCGACGTCCAGGGAAAATCACCACGGTCTGCTTGGGGGGGTGGCGGGAGGGAGAGGCTTTAGGAAAACTCTGAAAATTCTTCAGTACGTTTTGCTTTTGCTCACTTAGATTTAGAGGAATCCACTGGCAAAATGAAACTGAAAGCTTGCTTTCCCGCTGAGTCTCCTGCTGACCACAGGGTGTGAATCTGCCCTTGACTCTAGACTGTCAGCGGGTTTCACTGCATGATTCTTTGGGGGTCGGCTTTGTCAACGTATAATTGATGTACAATAAACTTCACCATTGTAAGTGCACGATTTGATAAGTCTTGATAAATGTGTAGTTGTATAACCGCAGGATCATGACAGAACATTTCCATCATCCTCAAAGTTCCCTCGCAGCCCTCAGTAGTTCACCTCTCCCTCCAGCCTCCCGCCTGGCTGCCTCTCACCTGCTTCCCATTTCTGAGGCTGGGCTTTTTAGGTAACCGAAGGTAAGTGGAATCTCAGTGTGTAGCCTTCTAGGTTCCACTCTTAAAACTTAATATGGGGCTGGAATTGTGGCTCTGTGGTCAAGCACTTGCCTAGCATGAGGCACTGGGTTCAAATCTCAGCACCACATATAAATAAAGTCCACTGACAACTAGAAAAATATTTAAAAAAACTGAATATGATGGTTTTAAGAGTCATCCATGTTGTTGCTTGTGTAAGTAGTTGGCTCCTTATATTGAATCACAATCTACTTATCCATATACCAGTTGACGGACGTTTGTTTCATTCCTTTGGAAACTATGAATAAAGGTGCTGTAAACATTAATTTACAGATATTGAGGTGGACATGTTTTCGGTCTCCTAGGGTTTTCCCCTTTGTCTGCGTAAATACTTCTAGGTGAAACTGCTGGCCACATGGTATGTTTGACTTTTCAAGGAGCCATTAAACTGGTTTCCGAATAGCTGCCTTCATTTTGCACTCCCACCAGCAACGTGAGCAGCTCAGTTGTTCCTGAGCCTTGCCAGCTCTTGGTATCACCAGTCTTATAACTTCCCTAGTGACCACATATGGGTGTCTCTTTTTGGTTTTAATTTGTATTTGTCTAATCAACAATGATGTCTTCATGTGCTTGTTTCTATGGGTATATCTTCTTCAGTGAAATGTCTATTAAAATTATTTGACCATTGAAAAAATTGGGTTGTTTCATTAAGTTGTGAAGTTTTTTCCCCTCATTTGTTCTTTGTACTAGTCCTTGTCAGGCATTTGTCTTCCATTTTATTTCTGTGGTTTGCCTTTTCATTTTAACAGTGTCATCTGAAAAGCAAAACTTTAAAAATGTTTAGGAAGTCCAACTTATTATTTCTTTTATTCTTTGTGGTTTTTTGTGTGTGTCCTATTAAAGCAGTCATTGCTTAATCCAAGGTGACTTACATTTTTTTTTCCTACGAATTTCATAGTTCTACCTCTTAAATTTACATCTTAGGCCTATTTTGAGTTAATTTTCCTGTGTGATAGGTGGTTTATTTCCCACATGGATGCCCAATATTATTAGTTCAAAAGATTCTTTCCTCCTAGAGTTGCCCTATCACCTTTGCAAAGTTCATTGGCTGTGTGTGTGGGTTTATTTCTAGACTCTATTCTGATTTTACTTTAAAAAAAGATAAACTTTGTAAAACAGCAGCACCAAATGTAGCTAAAACAATAGATGCAATTAAAACAAAAAAGGTTAAAAAAAAAAAGCACCTAGACTCTCATCAGCTTAAAAACATTATTAACACACTTCCATTGTGTGATACACACAAGAAAACTACGGGTGCGCTCCTGCTGTGACTTGCTTTCATTTATGACATCCATGATGTCCCCACACCAGGAGAGTGTTTCCAAGCAGGTAGGAAAAGCAACTGGTGTGTGCGTGTGCGGGGGTTGTGCACGGGCTGCCTCGGCTCCGGGCGGCCCTCTTCTTTCTGACTCGCACTTTCAGCCTGCTTTCACCCGGCTCAGGAACACAGGCTCGCCAGAGGCAGGGCCGGCGCAGCGGAGGCCCGGTGCAGAGGCCCGTCCCGCGTCCCCGAGGGCCCAGAGGTCAGGAAGCCCCGACGGGTGGGGAGGAGTCCTGCAGCGCAAAGGCCGTGAACTGCGGGCGCGGCGGCCTCGCTGTCGGCTTGTTCCTGTGGCTCTAGTAAACAAGCTGGGGACCTCACAAGTACAAAGGTCACTTGGCTCGCCTCAGTGGCAGGGGCCACATCGCACGTTGCACGGAGGGAGCCAGAGATATGGCACATGGTGGACACCGGAAGCGGAAACCTAAGCAACAACCGGAAGCGAAAGTGAAGTGTGGGGCAGGGGCGAGCAGTCCGATTTCCCAGGAAGAGGTCCGCCCTTTTAAAGCCTACCGGCCTCCCACTAGGCCCCGCCTCTTAAAGGTCCAGCCCCTCTCCACATGGCCCACTGGAGAAGGAGCGTCAGGTAGTGACCTTTGAGGGATACACTCAAACGCTCGCCAAACCTGAGTGTCTGGAAGCTGGAAAAGGAAGGAAACAAGGCTGCCCAGCAACCTCCCCAGGGAATTCAGTCCCACTGACACCTTGATGTTACCCCAGTGAGACCCAGGTTGTGCTTCTGACCTTCAGAGCTGGGAGAGGATGAATGGGTCTGGTTTTAAGCCCCTGAGTTTCTGTTTGTTACAGCAGCAATGGAAATCGCGTACGGGTTTGACTGTTCCTGTTAACTTCCCGAACTTGTCAAAGAAATATAGTTGTATTCTAGACAAAAGAGCTGCATTTTGTATTATTAGAGATGAGAACCCCAATATATTATTATCTTCAGTGCTGGTGATCAAACCCAGGACCTCACACATGCAAAGCAGCACTCTGTCACTGAGCTAAACCCCAGCCCCCAAATCTTTATTTATTTATTTATTTTTGAGGTAGAGTTTCACTCTAACTTCTTAGGCTGGCCTTGAATTCCTGGATTCCAGAGATCACCCTGCCTCAGCCTCCTGAGTAGCTGGCTGGTCTCACTTCAAATTTTGAATGTTGGATCGGAACTGATTTCATCTCAATTTAAGAGAGAGTTTCCTAAACCTTTTAAACTGTTAAAAAAGCCAAACTGCTTTCCGAGATAGCAAATTTGTTGTTGCAAGAACAATTCAAAATAATTGTCAAAATGTCACCGTGGGGATTCCTACACGGATGGGAAGTTATGTGAAGTTACCTTAGGTCACCCCTGGGTTCTTCCCACACTGAGAACTTGTGATTTCATTAATTTTGTTTTCAGTGTGGGGGAGCAAACCCAGGGCCTTGTGCATGCCAGGCAGGCGCTCCACCACGGAGCCACACAGCCAGTCCATTTCATGATCTTGAATCTCTTGGAATTGCTTCTTGGTTTTCTTGCTCTAGTGGCTGAACCCCCATTCCAGTTGCCCCATTTTACCAAAGAAATGATAGGCAAAGTTAGAACTGGAAGTGTTCTGCATTTTCAGCCACTTTTCTAAAAGAAGTTGGTCTGTCCAGGGTTGTACAGGTGGCGGGTGGTGGGACAGAACCAGGGACAGCACTCCCAACAGCACAGCTGATTTGCTGTCCCAGTTGGACCCTGCAGTGCTGACACACTGTGTCATCCTTCTCCTCGGTCGTCCTTGAGGAGGTTAAGGGAAGGTGGGGTCAGCTCTCATGCTTGTTCCTTTCCTTCCTTTCATCCCCAGGCAACCTTTCTGGACACAGAAGTTCCTTCCTGTGTCCCACCCTCCTGATCATCCTTGAAGGTGACATGGGCATAGACGGGCATGACTCTGGGCCTGGATTTTATGTAAAATCCAGGAAGTGCTTTCAGCTCTTGAAGGGACTTTCTGCCATTCCGCTTACAGCCTAAGCAAGGGTTGTACAGGCGAACTCAGCACACCCTGCCGACTTGTTCAGGTAGGACCAGGGGATGATTTGTTTTCTTGTCTTTTCAATTGTTTGTTATTTCTAAGCCACTCTGTTAATTAATGGAAAATTGTTGTGAGAAATGCAGTCACCACATTATACAGGCCCAGTCTCTATCTCTTAGGTTAGGAAAAATGAGGTCAGAGAACAAAAAGCTGAACAGGTATTTCCTCTCTTACATGTGGGTGAAACCTAGAAAATAAAAGCGAGACTGCCTACCCTGGTTTCGAGTGCTCGTCATCATACTTGGAAAAGGGAAGTCTGACACACTGACCGTGGAGCACAGTCACCGTTGTGCATGATGTAAGTGTCTGTATCACCATGTTAATAACCAATACCAATAGAAATAAGGGAGGTCCCCAGGGCCAGTTATGAAACACGTACTCAGAAATCGGATTCCCTTAAGCCAATAAAGAGAATCTCAGTGCTGTGATGGAAGGATTTCATTCACAGTTGCAACAAAATGCAAATAACATAACAATTAGGAAAACTTCACAAAAAATATGTAGGACCAAAAGTGAACAAAATGTCACATGTTTATTCAGGAGCATAAAAGAGGACATGTTTGGGGCCAGAATAACCGACTGTTGAAAATGAAAATTCCATAAATTATGTATCAATTCAATGCAGTTTCAAACAAATTACCAGTGAACTTTTTTTTTGTTTTCCTTTGAAAAACATCCTGAGGGCTGGGGCTGTGGCTCAGTGGCAGCGCGCTTGCCTCGCACATATGAGGCACTTCGTTCAATCCTCAGCACCACATAAAAATGAATGAACAAAATAAAGATATTGTGAAAAAGAAGGTATTAAAAAAAATCCTGAGCTGGGCACGGTGGCACATGCCTGTAATCCCAGCAGCTTGGGAGGCTAAGGCAGGAGGATGGTGAGTTCAAAGCCAGCCTCAGCAATGGGGAGGCACTAAACAACTCAGTGAGACCCCGTCTCTAAATAAAATACAAAATAGGGCTGGGATGTGGCTCAGTGATTGAGTGCCTCTGAGTTCAATTCTCAGTACCCTCCCCCCAAAATAAAAAAAAAATCCTGAAAATAACTAGATAATATACATAAGAGGATGCCAGGTAGTGTGTGTGTGTGTGTGTGTGTGTGTGTGTTTTGTAAATTTATGTTTATAAGCAGTGACATTTACTTGCTTTTGGTGTACAGTCCTCTGTGTTCTGACAGTGCATAGAGTTGTGCAGCCCGGGGTGGCACGTCAGGTCACAGGACAGTTCTGTTCTTTTTGCAGTCAGGATTCCCTGAACCCCAACACGTGGCAACCACAGATGTGTTCTCCCTCCCAGCTGTTTTACCGTTTCCAGACAGTCACATAAAAGGAATCCTGCAGAATGCCGTCTTTTGTGCTTGCTGCTGTCACTTAGCTCAGTGAATTTCAGATT